GCTGTGTCTGTGTCAGTTAGTGTCGTAGCTTCCCAGGGCCTGGAACTTAGTTAATTTAGTTTAAGGTCCTAATAATCCACTAAAGCATCAGAGGTGACAAGTTGTTTTGCACTATTTTAAGTCTCACTAGATGTGAAGAATATGCTTTACATGAATTTTTACATTTTTGTGTTTTATCCTGTGACCACGATAAGGGTTAATGAAAGGCAATAACTCGCTTTAAAATATAGAGATAATTTTAAAAGGCAGCCAATTAGTTATAAGTAATTAAATTAGGTATTAGATAACCTTAGTCATTATGAATTTTATGGCTCTACTCTTATATTCGCCCTAAGATCACCAAATGTGGCGATATATATTCTGCGCTGGTTTTGGGGACGATGTTGTTTGTATGGCAACCCTTTTGACATTGAAACTTAACTCTTTTGCTGCAGTGGTTTAATTGCTCATTGGTTCATGTGGTGCGTGTTTTGAAATGACCCAAGTTGCAATGATAGACGTGGTGGCAAGATTTCAGTCGCATACTTTATATTGTGTGGAAAGTAAATTTAGTATTAAAAGGTATGATGTTGGAGTTGTAATGAGTCTTTTGTTCACGGGTGTGTTTATGAGGATCGAAGTGTATTTTTGGAATTTCTGGGGGACTTTTAAAACGGAGTCCGAAATGCGGAGCTGCTATGAGAACTCGGACGAAGAAAGGCGTTCCTAATAGTTCTTGTGTGGATTTGCAGTCAAATGCCTGCTGGTAAAGTATGTGGCTGTCAGCGGAGTTTAAAATTTAGATTGTGGTTTTCTTGTAGTAAGTTAACTTTGGAGGAAGTTTTTATCTTTACTTTCGAAATTTTGAATCACAGAAAGAGATGTAATATAGCCGAATCGTTGCACCTTAGTTCACAGATATTGTGTGACCGGCGATATTTTATTAACGAATGTATTATGGTAAGTGCATTTTATTTTACTGTTTTTATTTTGTAGAATGTTATGTTCATTGTTTTTTTACTATGAATTTCTGTTGTTATTGTTGTTTTTTGAATTGTTTGTAATTTTAATTATTTTAGTTCATTTTGTTGATTTGTGCACAATGCCTAGCTTGTACAATTCGTAGATATTTTTTTAAAAGTTTAAACAGGATGCTGTGTACATGGTAGTCTTTGAAATTTATTGTTGTTATGTTAATTTATTAAAGCAAGGTGTGCGTAGTTTGTAGATTTGTTCACTGCTTAGATTGTGAAATTCGTAGATGTTTTTTTTAAGTTAAAACATATCGCTGTGTACATGGATTCTTGTCAAATATTTTTTGTTAAAAACGTTAGGTTTTTGCTACCTAAATTTTTTGTTTTGGATTTTTAGCTTAAATTGTGTGTTAAAAACGTGGTTTTTGGAGACATTTTAGGCTTAAAGTTCGAAACGTAGACAAAAAATTTAGATAGTAATATGGCACGGTGGAGTTTCTTGCCAAAAGTGTTTGGTGAGAAATTTAGCGACCTGAGAGTAAATATAAGAGTAGTTCCAATTTTATTTATATTTTTAACAATATTTGTTAAAAAAGCCCTATTAAATCACAATCTAATAACATTTCATAGTTTACAATACATGTAATTTATGGCATTGATTCATTAAAAGCTACAAAGTATTTATGTTTTGTAGCAACTTAATGCGTCTTTTTAATTTGAAGCCTTCCCAGATATTTTGGCTAATTTATATCAATTTCCTTCTCTTTAAGCATCTTTTCTAACAATTGGAACTTTGTCTCAATATGCAAGACAATGTTCTCACTAGTTTTTATGTGTTTTATCGCCTAACCTGTTAACCTCTCTAATATGTACCCATGAGGGTTTACTTGATTTAGTAAAAGTTAATAAGTTAAATAGTCCAAAACCCTCCAGACAGATGTGAAGCAAATTATCCCTATGTCTGAAAGTAACTAGAAAGTCAGACACAGGTTTAAAGAAGCTTCTTATTTAAAAAGAACTTAGAACATAAAGGCATGTTCTTATGCTAACAAAATCAATCAGAGCTCGTGTTGATGTAATTAAACGAGAAGAATCGAATTCAAACTAAAATTATGGACTAGTGATCAAAGACTATACAATTTAATTTTATTTTAAGTGGGCTCAGAAACTCTATCGTCATAGCAAATTCAAATGTCAGCAGCGGTATTCTAAAGACGAATAATTACACGTTATCAGAGCTGACAGGAACTAATGCAGGGAGCAAGTGGAGATCAGAAACACACTCTTGTTTTACACTCCAAAAATCTCAGTTTAAAAACTGTGTAAGTGATTTGCATTCTGGTGAGAAAATAGAAATGGGAAATTATAGTAAAAGCTGAAATTGTAAACAACTGGGTAATTTACATAATATTATCTTTGAAGAATAATTTCTCTTTCTCTTAATGTATTTTCTTTCTTCCCCGTTTCCTTTTCATTTAGAATGTATAAAGAAAGCTGCTAATTTTATTTCTTTAGTAATATAAACAATCAGAAGAAATATGAAATATATATGGTAAGGTCTGGTTACAGAGCTGGTGTGGGAGAATTTTTAGAATTTAGTGACACATCGAGCAACAAAATCTAGAAATGTCAAAACTTTTAGAATTTAGAACAGGCACTAGAAGCAGAATTTAGAAAGGCACCAGGCAGCAGAATTTAGAATCCACAGAGATCGTATCAGGTGGGAAGATGCCTAGTGCCATCACTATGTATGATGCATTACGACATATTAGATGAATCATTTAAATTGTCAATTTCTTTATTAATAAAAAATTCTTTTTTATAATGCCTCAACCATATGATAAGATTAGAAGCATTTTTGACATTTTATGATTGTGTCTAGTGAAAAGTAGAAAGAAAGAAAGAAAGAAAAAAAAAAAAAAAAAGATAAAAATGTTAAGAAAAAGATTCTAGTATCAGAAGAAAACATTCAACTATTATGTTTTCATTGTTCTTCCATATGTTCTCCAAAAAGTAAGAAATTATGTATTAACACCATGGAGACATATTTCATTTTGCCACATTTTTCTGGAATCTTCCAGAATCGTGAGTCAATAACTCTTGCCTTGAAATCTTTATAAACTTTCGAAGCTGCAATTTCTAAAATCCTAAAGAAAAATTAACCCTACCAATTCGGTAACAGCAAATCATAAATCATAAAGCCAGAAATTTTTTTTTGTGTGTGTGTGGGGGGAAACACGGACGAAAAAAGCGTAAAATTAATTTTGTAGAAAAAACTCACGAATAATTTGAGACAATTACATGAGAAAACTCTTACCATGAAAAAATTAAAAAGATATTCTTAATTAATTACATAACTATTTTGCTTTTGCTAAGAACTGTTTCCTAAATTGTGCTTTAAAGCATTATACCTTACTTATTTTTCAGATTCAAAATATTATATAATAAATGGCCAAAATGGAACTTTATACTAAGACAGCAAAAAATAAAAATGCTTTATTTTAATGCTATTTCTTAAATGCAATTGCAATATATTACCATTATTTTAATTAAATTTATCAATGTTACAATGTACTAAAAAAATAGTCGAAAAGTTCCCAGATCTCGAAACTAAAAATTTTCTATAGAAACTGATCTTAAAATCACCAAAATGTTGATAAGTCGCCAAATTTAGAGCAATATGATAAAAGAATTTACATCCCCAAAAGCGAAGTTGTTTAAGAGCTCTTCACTAGAAAAAAATAATTTCGAAATGCTTAGATTTCACACTTGCTCAGAAACTCTATCCCAACCTTTATATTAGAAATAGGAACAAATTATAACCCATGAACGCATTCACCCATTCAAAAGATATTTGTCAGCGAATTGCCAAAAAAATTCCTCCAAAATGGCAGTCATAAAAACAGACAGAAATTTCAGATGATTAAAATTAAGGCCCTTCTGCAATTTTTTCCAAAATGAAGTGCTTTTAAAGACCAAAAATTGATTCCAAAAAAATTAAGGACTCTTAAGGACTGTACGAACCCTGTGTTAAGAGGCTGCTGCAATCATCTATATTTGCTTCTGTCGCTATAGTATCAAAATTGTTCTGGAAATAAGCACAATGCAGTGCCAAGTGAATTGTGGTCACCAATGTGAATTTAAATAAACATGGAATTTAATCCGGCTCTACTGTTTTTTCTACAAAATGGATGGAAACTCTAAGCATCAAGTACCTATGCTAAACAACATTGCTACACTTCTACATCTCTACGGTCTTACACCAGTGCCTCCAAAAATTGTGGTATTATTACATTTTTAGCCCAACAGGATTGGACTATGTGCTACTAACCTCAATGGAACATTTATTCCTCAGATGGATTTCTGTAAAATAGTATTTGCAAATTCATAATTCTAAAAGTTAGATATCATTGACTATTCAATATGTTGTGCTATCATTACTTATATATTAAATTCAATTGTCATTGAGGAGCTAAAATTTTTAGAGCTAATTTTTTAAAAACTACTAATGCAATATTTACAAAACTTGGCAGTTTGGCATAATTTGAGTAATAGAATTCAAATATGGAAAAAATTTGGCATGTCATTTCAGAAAAAGTCCGATTTTGTGTCAAAATACCTGTATTAGAACCATGCTATATATAAATCTAATACATATTCTAAGTCATGCATTCAAGACATGAAAAACGCAATTTGAATTTCATCAATTGACTCAATAGAATGAGAGATATAGAACTGTCCCCTCTTTTTTTTTGCGCAGTGTACATTATGGGAAAAAAAAAAAAAAAAAATCCATTTTGGAATAGAGTCTTTTATTTTGTCTATATGTATAGATGTCATGCAAGAAAATAGTTAAAATGGATTTGAAAACAGTTAAATGGATATTTTTGTTGAAATCTGAAATTTTTCATGATTACAATACTTTCTTTACTTTGTACAGAGAAATAAAAAGGATAAAAATTGTGAATTAACAAATATATTCTGCCCTTTTAAAATCTTAAGCACTTTTTGGTTAACAAACTAACACAGAAATATATTTGAAGTTACCTGAGTCTACATCTGAAAATTCAGATGAGTAAATCTGGAATATACTTCTGCTGTCACTTGCAACTCGTGTCAGACCATTAGATGCAATATCACTAATCAAATCAAAAACAAGAGTACATGCTTAGTAGAATAATAATGATTCCATCACATATATAGCCAAAGTAACACATAAAATATATAAAATAATATTTTAAAGTTTCACTTACGCTGTAGACTTGCTTTCATATACAATTTTCCACAACTGTAACATTTGCTTACTTGTAAGCAAAGCAACTTCTGGTCCAATACAGTGTTCTTCCAAATGAGCTTTTGTACATAATAAACTAAAAACAAGAGTAATATTATGAAATAAAAATACACAATTAGAAATTACTTTTAATAAATTTTTCCTTCCAGACTATAAATGAGAAAAGTTTTTACTGATAAAAAGACCTTTAAAAAGTATATAAGTGATGAAGAATTCATAAAATGATGTAGAACTGATAAAGGAAAATTCAGAATTGAATTTAAATGTATTATTTCAGGTCTATTCAAACTGACAGGGTAGGGGTGTAGTCTGATCATGACGACAACAACAATAAAAAAACTTAAGCCTTCTGAACGTTTGCTGAATTTTGGATCAAAACAATACTTTTTTTATGCAAAGAAATGTATATTTTTGGAAATTTAAATTATAATGTTAAAAAGACAAGTTAAGATCCAAGTTTGGAAATCATTCTCTCCTCCCCCTGTTAACAGCTCCAATAAAATGTCCTGCATTTCCCCTCTAGAATAAAATAATAAATTTCACAGTCTCACAAACTACAGCTGTGTAAACTTTTATTTGATCACAGAATAGCTACACTAACTGCATGATAAAATTTCAGAAATAATAGCTCAGAGAAGGAAAATATTATGAATTTTTCTTTCGCAAATAAGTAAACTTCTGATAATTTCTTTCTAAGATGATGAAAGTTCAAATATTCAGTCTTTTCTCAATATAATTTTAATCAGGCTTGGTTTCAGCATATCTAGTGCCTTAGGTAATCAATATTGGTGTTTCCTGTAACTTACATATATTTTAAGAATGAAATACACTTTTATTTTACTGTTGCTTCTGTGAGCAACTTCGGGGCACCCTAGGTAGGTACCTATGCTTGAAGTAAGAACTGATTTAAGCTTTTAATACTTGCATACAATATAGTCATATCAATGGCCACATTCTTTTTAGTAAAAATTATCTGTTAGAAGAGATAATTTCACACACATACATTCTTTATGTATTGATAAATTTCAGTTATCTATGTTTTCCTCTCTGTGTAGTCAAACATATGCAATCTGTCTCAGTCAAACATATGCAGTCTGTCTCAGTCATACATATGCACTCTGTGCAATCAAAAATATACATATCTGTGTAGTCAACAAAACAGTATATAAAAATAAAAGTTCAAATAAAAATGCTACAGGATTCACTGAAAGAAATCTTTATCTTATTTTTACTAAGAGAAATCTTTGCAGATAGGCAGATAAAAAGAACTACAGTCAAAAGTCGTTAATCCGGACTCGTCGGGACTTCGGCGATTCCGGATTATCGATTTTTCCGGATTATAGATCATCAGTTTAAATCGCATAAGATGACATGCAGAAATTCTAAAATTAAAAATATGAAACCGTAATTTATGAAATAAAGAACAATTATGATCTAAAGGGTACCAAAATTTACAAAAAAAAAGCTTAATATTTATTTGATTACTTTATTAAACATTTCTTTCAATGTAAGTTGTTTCGTTTTATGTGATAATACTTTCTCTTTAATTCTATAAACAGACATAATTTTTTGTTCAGTTACAAAGTTCCGCTGTTCAAGTCCCGTTAATTGCTGTGCCGAGAATACCGACTAACTTGTCAATCGAAATTTTTTCGTTTACACTAACCTCTCTGTCACATTCTTCATGTCTTTATCCATTTTTTGCAGCAATTCCACTTTTTGTTTGATGGACATCGAAACATACTTTCGTTTTGTACGATCCTTTGGGAGCTCCAGATTCGAAAATTCTATTTGACATAATCGAAAGTTCAAGTTTACTTTTATAGTATTGCTCTTACAGTCTGCAAAAAATAATAAGCCGGATCCAATTCAAAAATGAAGGAACAACGCAATCATCAACATTAACTGAAATAGATAATTTTAGCTTATACTGTTCGTTATACGTAAAACGCGCACGGGAAAACGTATTCTGCGCTTGCGCACACGCAAATGCGCAGTCGTAAGAGGTCTTACGCGCACGCGTAAACGCCTATGCGCATGTGTCAACGTGGCGCATGCGCAGAAAGTTTTTAGCTTTGAGGTCCGGATTATAGATCATTCCGGATTATGGGTGTCCGAATTAACGACTTTTGACTGTACAATATATGGTATACATGAAGCATTACATCCTATGTCAGCTTTACCAATTAATAATAAATTAAAACATACTTCAGACTTAAGAATTATTGCATTTTACATCTTAATTGCACACTAGTTACATGAACTATGACTTGACATTTTCCACTTTTCACAGAAACTTGCTTTCATATACAATTTTCCACAACTGTAACATTTGCTTACTTGTAAGCAAAGCAACTTCTGGTCCAATACAGTGTTCTTCCAAATGAGCTTTTGTACATAATAAACTAAAAACAAGAGTAATATTATGAAATCGAGTATCGGACAAAAGAGCCTTTATTTATCAAAGCATTTTGAGGGGGGGGGGAATTAATATACATAATATTGAGTGGCTAAACTTAGTATTGTACCATTCAGTAAAACAGAATTAAATATAAACTGATTTAATATCAATTGAATTTTCATAAAAAATTCCACAATGTCTACAGTAGATCAAGACCATCCAGATATAATAAACAAAATCAAGAAAATTATGCTAAAAATCAACAAGAGGTGGGGGAAATGGGATTTGCACAGCTTCATTAGCTCGACAAAATTCCTTTATTGCTGGGAAACATTTTTTTTTAGCAAAGGTTAAAAATTAAAAACTGGAAGATGTGATGAAACAGCTATGGTATAGAAGGGGAAAAAAAAAAAAAAAAAAAACAACTTACTTAAAATTATCTGGATACTCCTCTAATGCAGCTTCAATCAACTGCAAAGCTTCAGAATACTGTTTCTGAGCAGATAAAAGTAGTACTAGAAGGTGCAATGAATGTATATGCTCAGCTCTAAGATGTAGAGCCATTTTTGCATGTAAAACAGCTTCAGATAACTGAAAAATGAAATGGAAATATTCATGAGACTAAATTGTTATATGTTTTTAAAGGTAAATACTTAAAAGACATTACAGAATTACACAATTACAAAAGATATAAATATCTGAATTTATATTTAAATAGATCACATATAAAATTATGAATAATAATTTATAAACAGCTCAAGCAATATTTATCATGAGTAACAGTAAATATGCAGAAACATTATTCATATCTAACACAATTGCAATCCACATTGATACAAATATAGTCATTAACAAGTGTTTTCAAAATATAGTCAAAATTAATCTCAGAATTCTATTTCAGCATTTCAAAATGACAATAATTTATAAAATGCAACCAACCAAAAATAACAAATATAGCAAAGTCAAAAGCACTTTATTAAACATTAAACTGCACAGCTCATTACTTTAAAAATTGTAAAAAGATAACAGCTTTCTATAGAACTTAAACATCTTTTATACAGCAATATATTTGATAATATACACTTATATATTGTAAAGAAAGGTGTAGTATATTTTGTTTCTAAACTACTTAATATTTTTGGTCTGGAACACATTTCATAATTTACAAAACAATCTATTAAAATTCCAACAAATAAATTTAATGTAACACTCATTGCTATTTATTTTATCGATGGCTATAAATATTATTGTTCTCCTTTTAAAAGAAAGCAAATTTAAAACTTTAAATATTAATACAGGGTTCATACACATTTCTGCACATGGAAATTAAGTACTTTTAAGGGCCATTAATGAAAACAATTAAGGACCTATCAGCAAATGAGAGCTGAATAAATTCATTTAAAATTCAATCAACTTATGTCTCAACTCCGTTTTTGTAATAACCCTCTAAGAATAAAATAGATCTGCAACTAGGATGCATTTTTATTAAAAATAATTTAATAAACATAACTATAAAACAAATTTGAGAATAAAATCCACTTTATAAAATTTATCAGGTAGCATTAAATATTTTATTTAATTATTGGACATATTGAAGGAAGATTAGGAACATTTTATTTACGTTTTACTAACAGTTAGCTTTATGTTGATTTTTTTTCTTTTATGTCTCATTTTGCCACGTACTCAGTCTAGAGGTTTAGTAATTAGGTGGATTTTATGTCAAATGGCATAGGTTAAAATGAGAGACAAAATCATAATCAGCATGATTCGTAACAGAGGATTGGCTGTTGCCAGTGCTGCTGCTTGCCTAGAGATAGATCTGTTGATCAGAACAAACCTGAAAGTCTGATGAAGTTTTGAGGTTAGCAAGTTTTGAAAGTTAGTTGTGCTCCATCTGGCTGATGCAGTTAGTGTTATAGCTTCATGGAGAGTTCCTGGGATTGTAACCTAGTTAATATATTTTAAGGTTCCAAAAAGCCACTAATGTACCAGAGGTGATAAATTGTTTTATATTATTTTAAGTCTCACTAGATTCAAAGAATAAATTTTACATTTTGTGCTGTATCTTGTGACCACAGTAAGGATTAATGAAAGGCAATAACATGCTTTAATATACAGAGATAACTTTTAAAGGTGAGTGGTTAGTTACAAATAATTAAATTAGGTAGTTAAATACCCTTAATCGTTATAGATTTACATGACCACTATATTAAATTTAATTTTTTAAAAACATTTGTTGAAAAAGCACTATTAAAATTCCAATCTAATAACATTTCACAGATTAAAATACATGTAATTTTAAACTGTCAGTTTTAAATCAATGTCATAACATTGATTTTTTAATGGTATTAGGGTAATTCCACATTAAAAGCTACAAAACATTTATGCTTTGTAGCAACACATAACAAAAATATTTATGCGTCTTTTTAATTTGAAGCCTTCCCAGACATTTTGGCTTAATTTATATCAATTTTCTTCTCTTTAAACATCTTTCCTAAAAATTAAAAATCTATTTCAATACACAAACCAGTGTTCCAACTAGTTTCTGTGTGCTTAATCTCCTAATTTGTCAGTCTCTTAACAGTGTACGTAATGAGGTTTTACTTGATCTGGTAAAAAAAAAAAAATAGTCCAAAACCTCTTATAGACATGAAGCAAATTATCTCTATGTCTGAAAGTAACTACAAAGTAAAAAAAAAAAAAAAAAAAAAAAGTCCAAAACCTCTTATAGACATGAAGCAAATTATCTCTATGTCTGAAAGTAACTACAAAGTCACATAAAGGTTTAAATAAGCCTTTTATTTAAAAAGAACTTAGAACATACAGGCATGTTCCTATGTTGACAAAATCAACTACAGCTTGTGGTGATGCAATTAAAAAAGAACAGTCAAATTCAAACTAAAAATGTGGACTAGTAGTCAAAACCACACAATTTAATTTTAATCTAAGCTGTCTGTCTCTATCATCGTAATAAATTTAAATGTTAGCGGCGATAACGCAAAGATGAATAATTATAAATTATCAGAGCTGGCAGAAACTAAAGCAACATCCAAGTGGAGAGCAAAAACACTATCCTTCAAGTCCCAAAACCTCAGTTAAAAAATGATCTGATTTACATTATGGTGAGGAAATGGAAAGGGTAACTTATATTAAAGGCTAAAATTATAAACAACTGGTTAATTTGCATAATAATAACTGTATGTCATCAAAGAATAATTTTCTTCCTCTTTATGTATTCAGTTTCTTTCTTCAATTTGTTTCCTCTTCACTTTAGAATTTTTTGAATTAATTAAAGATTTCTGTTATTCTAAAAACCCAAATACATTTAGAATGTAAAGAAAAAATTGATAAATATGAAATGATGTATAGTGAGTGCTGATTTCAGGGCCAATGAGGCAGTATTTTTAGAATTTAGTGACACACCTAGCAACAAAATCTAAAAATGGTAAAACTTTTAGAATTTAGGACATGCTCTGCAAGCAGAATTTAGGATCCACAGAGATTGCATCAGGTGAGAAAATGCCTTGCGTCAGCCCTGCATATGATCCATTGAGACATATAAGGCGAATCTTTCAAATTGTCAGTTTTTAATTTCTTTATTAATAGAAAATTCTTTTTTATAAATGCCTGTCCATGCGAAAAGATTAGACACATATTTGATATTTCCAATACTTGTGTCTAAAGAAAAGTTGAGAAAATAAAGGGAAGATAAACATGTTAAGAAAAAGACTTCTAGTATCAGAAGTAAAAAATTCAAACATTACGTTTTTATTGCCCTTCCAAAAATTCCCCAAAATGTAAGAAATTCATCATAAAATTTCTGTAAAATACATCTATTATGTGTTAATACAATAGAGACATTTTCATTTTGTCAATTTTTTCTGGAGCCTTCTAGAACTGAGGGTCTGTAAATCTTGCTTTCAAATCCTTCTAAACTTTCCAAGTTGCAATGTTTAAAATCCTAAAGAAAAATTAGCTCTACCAATTCTGCAAGAGAAAAAAGGCTAGAAATATTTTGGAATAAAATAAATAAATAAATAAATAAATAAAATAAAATAAAAATCAGAGTAAAAAGTGTACAATTAATTTTATAGCGAAAACCGATACATATTCTGACAATTTTGAATATTCTGAGACAATTACATGGGAAAAATTCTTATCATGAAAAAATTAAAAGGAAGAAACTTTTAATTAATTATACAGCTAATTTTGCTTTTGCTATGAATTGTTTTGTAAACTGCGCTTTATAGCATTTATTAACTTGTTTATTTTTCAGATTCAAAATACTATATAATAAGTCGCCAAAATGGAATGTAATGCCACTTTATAATATGACAGCAAAAGAAAGTAAAAATATTTTATATTAATGTTATTCCTTCAATGTAATTTAAATATATTACCATGATTTTAATTAAATTCATCAATGTTATAATGTTTAAAAAAATCGTCAAAAAATTCCCAGATCTCCGAATTAGAAATTTTCTATAGAAATTAATCTTAAAATCGCCAAAATGTTGAAAGGTCGCCAAATTTAGAGCACTTTAAAAAACGAATTCACATCCCCAGAAGCAGAAAGTTGTTTCAATAGAAAAAAAATTAAATAATTTTGAAATGCTTATGTTTGACTCCTTGCTCAGAAACTGCAATATTTTACCCTTTACATTAGAAATAGGAACAGATTATAACCCATGAACCCATTCAAAAGATAATCATATTTGTCACTGAACTATCAAAAATGTTCCTCCATAATGATAATTCACACTCAAAACAGCAGTCGTAAAAACAAGACAGAAATTTCAGACAATTAAAATTAAAGACCTTCTGCCGTTTTTAGCCTAAATTAAGGAATTGGACCGTAGGAACCCTGTAATAGGTATAAATAATTATAACAACATTTACTAACAATTTGGAAAATACATTTATTAAAATGACTACTGCTTTTGGTTCTATAAAAGAAAAAGAAATTTGTTTAATAACAATGTGTATTTTTCATGCATTTTAAGATCATATATGAAAAATTTCAATAAAATGTAAAAAACAAATTAACTACATTTTAAAACATGTAATAATGTTCATTTTATTTTTAAACTTTATGTACTACAGATATATGTATGCATATTTTTCTGTTTATTATTTAATATGTATTATAAACTGCTGTAAAATTTTAAAGAAATTACAAAGCAATTTATTTAATTGGATTAAATTTTTTTACTTAACAGATCCTATAACCATTTCAATAGGTTGAGAAGTTACAAAGTATATTATTGCATTATTGCATAACTATAAATATCTTTCATTCTGTTAAATTTATAACTAAGTATCCCAGTAACTGTTTTGATGTCATATGCAAAACTTTGCAAGTAGCCTTCAAGCGAAAGAACAATATACTTCACATGAAATTTTGTTTTTTTATTAAAAATTTTTTGGAAAAAATTACAATAATAATTATAAATTAATGTTTTCTTCTTAATTTAAATTTTATATTTTTAATTAAATTTCAGAGACTTACAATTTTATCAATATCAAACAAGGTGTGAGAAGGGAATTCCAAGAAATTTCCTTTAAAATCTGAAATTACGGTGATCAAATTAATCCTTTTTTGTGAAGAGGTATTGTTTGGTTTAAATTACTTGATCGTGATCTTCACTTGTTTTATGGAATTCCTCTAGGCATCTTATTCTCTAGGCATATTATTCTAGGCATTCTTATTCAGAAGTTTCTATATAAATATTTGGACTTCTAAAAAAATTTGGACTTCCCCATACATATATACAGAGTGATCATAACAAAAATACTTCCCGAACATATGAACCCTTAGCGACCTTATGTATTCAACCAATCAAAATGAAATTTCAGCTATTATTATTTGAAGGTATGTACTTAAGACTGTGGTGATTTAAAAAAAAAGAGGTTTCAAGATTATGGTTACAGAGAAAAAAAATTCAAAATCTTCAAATGGTAACATCTACTTTTCCCCTGCACTAATTGATCAGTGAATTGAAAAACCATAAATGGTGTTGGAACGATAAACATATGACGAAAAGTTCCAGTATAAAATACTGTAAAGCACCAATAACAATATGACAGAGGGCAGGGAAAAAAAACTTTTATTGGAATTACAAGTTTTCAAGGTGTACAGTATTTTAAAATAGAGTCATCTCCTCTAGCATTGCAGTTTTGTGGCCACCATGACCCCTTCACCTCACTCAGATGGATTTATGGTTCTAGGTTATATGAAATCTAAGGTATATCCTTAAAAGATGCAATAAAACATGAAGTTATATATATGTCTCCTGCAATGTTATGCTCCTCATTGTAGTCAACAGTCTCTTGGATGAAATGCGTTATCGTCTGTGAAAGTGGACACATTGAAAACTTGTAATTCCAATATAAGTTTTTACTTCCTCTTCTCCTCTCTTGTATTGTTATTGGTTTTTACAATTCTCTTCTTTGCCTGAAATTTTTGTCATACATCAGTTGTTCCAATGCCATGTATGGCTTTTCAATGGCTGTGCTGATCAATTTTCACAGAAAAAAAAGTGGGTGCTACCATTTGAAAATTTGAAATTTTTTTTTATTGTAACCATAACCATAAGAGCTCTTTTGTTTTCAATCATTACAATTTTGAGTGCATACCTTTGAATAAGAATATCAGAAATTTCATTTCAATTGGTTGAATAGATAGACTGGCTTTATATAGTGGGAGAGTTCTTTTATGACTACCTTGTATATATACATACACACATGAAATTTATAAAAAACTTGGAATCGGGCAAAATAATTTTTTAAGAGACAATTTTTCTCTTGAGCACAGAACCATAATTAAAGCAATTATCAGTATTAATATTTTACAAATAAATTAAATAGAACAAAATGTTATTTCCAAAGAGAGTAAAACGTTTATGGCATTCTGTTCAATAATTTACTTTAAAAACAAACTAGATTATTACAAATTTACCTGCCTAGCCTGAGCATAATGTAGAGCTAAGAAAAATTCAGGTAGATGGTCATTTGGATCAATGCTAGCAGCCCTAAAATGAAACAATTGCTTTGATAAGCTCTACTAGCTTCAAAATTTAAGATATGTTCATTAAAATTGATTATTAACTTTTACCTCTTAAAATATATCTTAAAAATTAAAAAAATGAATAAATACAAAGTAAAAAACAGTTCAAAACATAATCCAAGTGGTGGCAATAATGCAAAATAAAATAAGAAATATGTTTAAAATTCATCACATATTCAGTTCAGACTATATCACATGCAAAAACCAAAAGTACAGTGGCAAACTGGAAGAAATGGGGAGGGAGCAAAATATTCCAAAACAAAAAATTAAATTTTTATTTTATTTTGCATTAAAAAATTAAAGGTATACTCCAGTATGTGATTAAAATTTTATTAAAGACATCCTATGTATTGCAGAAAAATGTCTGAAAGTGAAATATAATTCACATTATAACAAAATACATGATAGAAAAGCACTTTTAATGGACAAAGGACAATTTATATATGTTTTCTGAAATAAGACATAACATTTGAAAGGAAAAAGGTATAACTAAACTGTGAAACAATTACTAAACAAAGCATATAATTTATTAATAACGAGCACATTAAGAAAGAGGAGTAGAGCAATTTAAAACTTTTCATATTGTACACATCTGTAAATATGATTTTTAACATACTGACAGTAATGTGATAACTTGGTTTGCATTCTTGTCTAGGGTACTGATTTCGAAATAACTAGGAGTACTTTTACCTGCATTTTTCATAAAGTTATATTTATATTCGTAGAATATACAGGGTTAGCAAAAATACAGTCCCTGAATTCAAGGTGCCATAAAAAAAAAGAGTTACTTGAATATGTTGATAAATGCGATATCCACAACTCAACTAAATTTTTTATTTCTTTTCTTTACGGAATTGCTAGGCATGACTTCAAATGCTAGAGGCAGTGACATCAAAAATGGCATTCAATCCACAGCAAGAAAACTAGTGCATGTTACAACTTGCAAAAACATCATCATATTCTTAAAAATCACATATAGCATGCAAATGAATAGCCCAAAATAAAAATGTTTTTTTTCTGTTGAATATACACACATGCTGCTGGATTAAGCCGGCTATAAGAGAAAGTTTGGTTGGATAGAAAATGAAATTATAATTGCTAGAATTTGAATATATCTGGTTGTAATGAAAGTTTTCTGCCAAGAAACATTCTTAATAAAGCGGGAAAAAAAAAAAAAAAAAAAAAAAAAAAAAACATATGAAAGCAGTAACTTTAGTGCAGGTAGTAATCACCACCCAAATCTATGATTTTCTGCCAAAGTTTTGGTAGTTACACCTTACTGTCAAGGGTTTTAGTTTTTTCCACATACACTTTGAGGATAATACCACGGCAATCCCACCAAATAAAAAACATGAACTTTTTGTTAGTCAAATTGTGCTTTGCGACGCTGCTGACAGGCTCATCGAGCGCAGACCCCCCCCTCTTTTCAGCCTGTGTTGTAGAAGTAAATCCACTTTTCATAACAAGTAATAATCCAGTCCAGAATTTTGTTCTTGCTTTGATATTTGAGCAGATTAGTGCAGGCCTGAACATGTCTGTCTTTATCTTCTTGACTCAGCTTGTACGGCATCCAGTGACTACACTTGTATGCCAAGTTTTTTATGTGACACATAGCATGGCTAATGGGCAAGGCACTAAGGTCTAGCTCCTTAGAAAGCTCATGAGTGGTTGCAATACTGATCTTCTTCCACAAGTTCTTGCAGGCGAGCCTCATCCACATCAGCAGGCCGGCTTCTTGAATATCATAGGCCTTGTTTTTGAACATTTGGTACCAAACCTTCATAGTGTCATATGATACAACATTAGTACCTAAGGCTATAACCATGATTTGGTGACATTCTGTAGCTGACTTTTTGCAAAAGAACTGGAAGCAAATGATGGTTCTAATCTGGTAGTGTGATAGTTCCATTTCAGACACCTCGTACTTACTCGTTTTTACAAATTTCACAACACAGTGTTCTAAACCATACAAATTTCACAACACAGTGTTCTAAACCAAGTCTCTTTCTTTTAAATGTCAAAAATCATTTGACAAAATATGATTAAACATGGCAACGCAAACTGTTTGTGCAGATGATATTTGCGGTGGTGGGAAACTTTCATTAAAACCCAATGTTTTTTACAATTAAAGTCTGTTAATATTTAAAATTTCAAAATATATTTAAATGAGGGATATAAAATTATGTACCTTTGAATGAATTCTCACCATCTCCACTTCAAATACAATAACTAAAAAGCTAATTATTTTATTATATTCAAAATTTAAAAATACACACACACACACACATATACAGTCAAAAGTCGTTAATCCGGACTCGTCGGGACTTCGGCGATTCCGGATTATAGATCATCAGTTTAAATCGCGTAAGATGACATGCAGAAATTCTAAAATTAAAAATATGAAACCGTAATTTATGAAATAAAAAAACAATTATGATCTAAAGGGTATCAAAATTACAAAAAAAAAAAAAGCTTAATATTATATTTGATTACTTATTAAACATTTCTTTCAATGTAAGTTGTTTCGTTTTCTCTTTAATTCTATAAACAGACATAATTTTTTTGTTCAGTTACAAAGTTACTTTCTCTTTAATTCTATAAACAGACATAATTTTTTTGTTCAGTTACAAAGTTCCGCTGTTCAAGTCCCGTTAATTGCTGTGCCGAGAATACCGACTAACTTGTCAATCAAAATTTTTTCGTTTACACTAACCTCTCTGTCACATTCTTCATGTCTTTATCCATTTTTTGCAGCAATTCCACTTTTTGTTTGATGGACATCGAAACATACTTTCGTTTGTACGATCTTTGGGAGCTCCAGATTCGAAAATTTCTATTTGACATAATCGAAAGTTCAAGTTTACTTTTATAGTATTGCTCTTACAGTCTGCAAAAAATAATAAGCCGGATCCAATTCAAAAATGAAGGAACAACGCAATCATCAACATTAACTGAAATAGATAATTTTAGCTTATACTGTTCGTTATACGTAAAACGCGCACGGGAAAACGTATTCTGTGCTTGCGCACACGCAAATGCGCAGTCGTAAGAGGTCTTACGCGCACACGTAAACGACTACGCGCATGTGTCAACGCGGCGCATGCGCAGAAAGTTTTTAGCTTTGAGGTCCGGATTATAGATCATTACGGATTATGGGTGTCCGAATTAACGACTTTTGACTGTATATATATAAATTGATTTAATTTTTTTATTATACATTAAAAATCCTTTTCTTATTTTGATTAAAAATAACCTCAAAGTGAAGCTGAATTCTAATAATACTTAATTAGAGAATGCTCAACAAACACTTAACAATTATATATTTATTATATAATTCCATTCTAGACTAACAGATAACTTACAAATTTCTGAAAGTAATTTGTTCAAAGATAAAAGTTATATCTTTTACAAAACATTATTGAAAATACTTTACTTGGAAAATGATTCGAATGCTTTCTTTCGCAGATCTCGTTGTGCTACCTGAGTTCTGAAAATGTTGGACATCAGTTCATGACCTAAGCCAACTGCAACATGACACCGAGCCAATAAATTCTGTGGATGAGCAGTTTCCCTTTCTAAAGCTTTTTCTGCCATTTTTAAGCCTTTATCTGGAAGGTCTAAATTTTCAAAACACAATCTAGCGGCCAATACACATGGCAATGAATTATTGGGCTGTAATCTTGCAACTTCATGAAGCACTAAGTAGGCTCTGTTGTACTATAATAATTCAGAATTTCTTCAGTATGTTTACAGTAAAACATGTTACATACATTTTAAAGAAATAAAATAAATTCATTAATGAGTGCCAGAGAAAATAAACCTATAAGCATTAAAATCTAACAAGAAAATTTAATTCTACATAAAAATTACTATGACTGTCTATCAAATGCAGCTATTGATTTCTTAATAAATTTAGAATTTCATCTTTTAAAATATTAAAACTTTTTAGCCGATCATGTCTTTCAGTTTTCACAGAAATATATATATATATATATATTATATAGATATATATATATATATATATATTAAATGGTAAGCTCCTTTAATATTATGAGCCAGAATCATTTAGATTAACTAAATAAATAAATTAGTATAAAAGGGGATTTTAATATTATAGCAACCACTGTAAAAGATAATTGCTGCCTCCGCAATAAATCACTAAAGCTGATCGTCTCACTTAAAAACTATCTTTTCTGTTATTCCCTTTTCCAACTCAAATACACATTCTGTTGTTTCATGAAAGACATTTTACATATTACAGACAACATGAAAGTGAGTATTGACAACCATCTCAATTCTTTCAGGTGTGAAATATGCTATTAATTTTCAGTCTACCAATAAGTGAAGAAAATACAATAGCATTTTTCAAGAAAATGACATTTTACTTCATAACAGAATATGCAAAAATGGTCATGAAATGTATTTAGGCATCAAAGATTAATGATATGACTGAAGATACAACTTTAAAATGTACAAAAAAGAGAAAGGAATTCAGTTGAGAAACTATGTGTAAGAAATAAAACTGTAATTTTAAGATCAATTTACAATTACAAAAATAGTGCAATTTTATTGCATTTTATTTTTTCCACAATGATCTTGTTATTTTCAAATGTCTTGCACTCAGTGGCTTTTTTCACGCTGCACATTTTATACTTAGTGATATTTTTCACAGTGATGGCTTTAACATAAAAGATCCCCCCCCTAAAAAAAGGGGATGCAAAAAAAAGTAAATGCAGTTATAGCAAGAAATGAAAATTATTATTAAACAATGATAACAAGTAAATATTTAAAATAAAACTACAAAAATTTAATATAAATTAAACACATAAAATTATTATATAAAGTTACAAATATATGTTACTGAGATGTATTCTTAATTTTAAAATACGAAATGATATATAAACACCATGATATTAAATAGCCATAACAGTAGCTAGCATTCTGAATGATAAAGAATGGAAAAGGTTATTCTGTTATATTCTCTATCCTCAAAATCATTAATAAACATCTAGCATTTATGAATTACAATAAAACATGACAAATGCTATATAAAAAAGCACAAAGCTTAAAAATGACAAAATTTCAGAATATTTTAAATAGTTTCATGACATTATAATCCATTATAAAAGTTATATGAACTAGTGATAACAATACTAAGGCCAACAGAAAAACAAAATGCTTAGTCTGTAAAAACAAACATTCTAATATAAAACCATTTGTGCTAATCAAATTAATAAAATAATATCAAAAGATTCAACACCATACGTAATATACAACATTGAAAACTCTTTTACTAACTATAATAATACTAAAAAAGTTTTAAAAAAAATAGCTACTGTATTTATACAATTTATAATATATGTACGAAAGCAAGTGAAATTAATGAAAGCATGTGTAAGAAACTTTGAATGCAAAATACTGTTAGACGTTTCGTAAACATGTAAATAATTTTAGATAAATCATATCTATACTGCAGTATTTCTTTTATTAAGATGAAAAGCATCCAAATGCAAAGCATCGACGAAAAAATAGGGGTACAGGGATAAGTTTATTTAATACTGAGGTACATAAATGGCTATTAGTGAGATAATGCCAAGCTAGTGATGATTTTGACAACAAATCTGCATCAAAATTTTGTTTCCAAATATTACGACATTTAGCGATGTTTGTTCCAAACCCTGAGCAACTGTAAGTACTCCTATATAACTCTAACTGTGACTGCCTTCCAGCAATTTTGAGAAATTAAAGTTACTGTAAATTTCTCTGATGAATGGGAGAAAACTATTTGATCAGTGTATCAGTTTTAGTTTAAATCAGACTTCAGAATATTGACAGATCACCATTCTAGCTTTTGCTTTTTGATGTGCTTTGCATTGCCTGATGTTCAATGTTCTTAGTAATCTGGTAGTAACTGATGACTGTGCTCTGTTATACTGAGATGAGCTATACAAGTACTTTTGTGTAAAAAATTGCAGAACTATGAATTTATTATTTATTAGCGCAAATGACGTTAGCCCAGAAAGGCTGTTAATTTTGTTTTGACATTTTGTGTTGGTTCACTATAAATGCCGGTTGACTTTTCAAAGTGTTGCCACCAAATATTACAGTCCTGTATTATATTTAAAAAGTAAATGATGTAGAATATGTGTAAATATATGTATGCTTCTCGCATAGTGACAATACAATGTTACCTAGAGTCATCAAATTTTGAATAATGTACGTTTCCACCTGAATATGAGCATTTAGAAGACCAAATTTGGAATTTGTTTTATTATCTATTTCCCATTTTGTAAAACTTTAAAGAATTTTTGATTTACAAACTCAACGATTTCAAAGTGAGCAATGGCAACACTGTACGGGGGGGGATACATTTTTAACTTCAGCGCGCATGGCAGTGTATCGGAAATTCTAAAGATATGCTCATTTTAAAATTATTTTGCGATATTGCTATTGAACTGAGTTTTATGGTTTAAGTGCAAAGAACATGAAATTTAATAAATAAAGGTAACACACAAAATGTTAAAAAAACACCCCTTTGGGCATAATGTAAACCTTCAGATTTTTATGTTTTATTCTTTTTGTCTCTTTACCTTTTATTTATTGGAATATAAATTTTATCTAGCTTTCATCAGTTCTGTGTGCATTCAATCCATTATGATCCTGTAGGGACATAACAATAAATTCAGGTTAATGATACTAAACATACTGTCTTTAATTGTTCACTTGTGGTTACTACAGAACTGTCAGGGTTCGTAGCCATATTTTAGTTAAAAAAATAAGCACCTATAAGCACTTTTAAAGCATATTTTAAGGAAAAAATAAGCAGCTGTCTAATTACATTATACACAATATCATAACCTTAAAAATTAGACTTGTAATTTAAAATATGAGCAATGCAATATTTATTAAGAGAATGAGCATTAATTCAACCATGGAAAACAATTAACTTTTTTTTTTTAAATTTTAAATGACAGTTCAATTTACAGAATTAGTTTACAATGAGAGGGAAAAAAAAATATGCAGAACTAAACTATATTACAAGATTTATTGATGAAATTTCAGTTCAAAATATAGAAAATAAATAATAATAAGCCATATTAATTGTATTCGTTTGGAACCTAATAATAAATACAATTTATTTTTCCACTCATACTGATATTTAAATAATTAAATCTAAATTCTGAACATTTCTAAATTTTCATTGTATATCAGTTTTCCTTAACAGATATTGCAAGCAAAGTAATTTAAGTAAAAAAGAGGAGAAACATTTCTGAAATCAGAAGAAGACAGAAATTTGCTTCATGCAGTCATATCCTTTAACAGTAAAAGCTTAACTAACCCGCATACTTGAAATTGGCCAAATATCGGACAGTCGAGCGTAACTTGAAAAAGAGGAGCGCCGGGGGGGGGGGGGTAGACTGTAGCCGCTCTTTACATTTTTCCACTAAATAAATGCTTTTGACATTTCGATGTGTGCATCATATAAAAATAAACTAATAGAACTGAAAAATATTCTGCTTAGCAAGCACAGTAAAACTCTTTTAAGTGTTCATAAACAAATCTCAGACTGAACATCAAAATTAATTATCTCTGCAAAATACCGCAAACATTATTGCGCAATACCTGTGGCATAATTCTTCCACATGTGATATTACACCAATTGGAATCAACAGCTGCCGGTATTCGGAGAATAAAGAACTAAATAAAGGAAAAGAAAGAGACTTAACTAATCTGGGGTGTTTCTGATTCTAATTTTCAACGGACTGTGTTAAATTTCCGGAATAGAATCAATCTTCGCTTGGGTTGGGTAGACCGCAAAAACTTTTAGTCCTATTCAATTAAGATTGGACAGTGACAAAAAAAAAAAAAAAAAAAAGTCCGCTGCTTCAATATTGGAGATTTTGCGGAGAAAGGGGAGAACCTACCAATCTCCGTACTGTATAATGTATTGGAAAAAAGAAAATATTTTGACTATTCGATTACTTTCCTTTTATTTAAGCCATTCTGAAAAAACACATCCATTTTTGGAAGTTTATCTATACTTCAGCAGTTACTGCAACTATATTATTATTAATATTCATGCATATACTCATAATATAAGCACAATGATCATAATAAACACGAATATGAACAAGAATGCAAATTATTAAAATCTTGATAGAAATTCAAACGTGTGTAGTATTTGGGTGGGAGGAAAGAATACTGAATGTACTGGAATTTTCTACCGTTTTCCCAAATTCTTTGACCAATAGAACGACGTGCAGCTGTCTGTACTCTCTCGTGCGCCATAGGTTAGGTTAATGCAGAGAAAGGGGAGAAAAGCAATTTCCAGGAGTATGATTCACCATCTGACGTTGCATACAAGGAAGAAAAGTTGTTTATTTAGTTTCGGCTTTAATATGGGAAAAAAATGCGGGTTCATTAAAAAAAAAAAAGGATTAAAGAAAGCACTAAAAGCAAAAAATAAGCACTAGAAACAAAAAAATATGGGCTTTAAAGAAAAAGTAAGCACCTATAAGGGCCTTTATATTTTATTTTCAAATATAAGGACTTATAAGCACTTGTAAGGGCTGCTACGAACCCTGACTGTCCTGCAGTTGCCAAAATTCCTCCATATTCTCCAGACTTAAATACTATTGAAACATATATGGAGAAAGTTGGGAAAGAGAATAAGGAAACATGATATTTCTTCCAAAACTCTAATATAAGCATTTCTTATGGGGGAATGGAACAAAATGGAGCAAACATATATACAAAAATTAATTGAATACATGACAAAATGCATGAAAAGTGTAGTTTTGTCTGAAATTTTATCGAACAAAATATTGAAGGTCCTGTTATTCCCATGTTTTTATTAATATAGCCTTTTGTGTATTAACCTAAATTATATTTATAAACACAGCCTGCTTATTCAAAGTGTCTAAATACTTATGTGGATTCATTTTCAGAACTTTTTGATTGGTTTAGTTGATTATGGCAAAGCACACAAGGGCTATCTGACTAAGGGGAGGGATACCTCTGTGGAGGACTTTCTAAGGAAAACTGGCTCATGTACACATAAAACATGGGAAAAGCCACAAAAACACCCATCCAGCCAGCCTCTTTGTCAGGATTCGAACCCCAGACTGAACTACCAGCATTCAGTGATTTTCACCCCTTGACTGCTAGTGGGCCAGAAATGATTGAACAAATTATTATTATTTTTTTTTTATTATCAAAAATGTTTGAATAGTTTTTCTTTTTAAAATAAGCAGGGTTTTAAAAGAGATGACATATGGCCTACATGAAAAAAAAAGTTTTTTCAATAGAATTTAGTAACAAATACTTAAATATAAAATGGAAAACAATTGTCTGAAAAAACTGTGAGCCACTGTATATGCATATTGTATATCAGAGTAGAATCAACCTTAATTCCATGACAGAATGTAATAGGCCTATTTTTTTCTGCTTTTGTCTATACAGAAAGACTTATTACCAAGGCACCATTTTATGACTTGACAAAGTTGTTGTTTATGAGATTCAGACCCAAGACCCTGTTTTATGGAATTTTCTTAACATGAAGAAATAAATGTTTTTTAATAAAACAAGTTCAGTTGAAAAACTTACTTTACCAGATGATATTAATGACAAAGCAAATTGGGTCCACACATGCTGTTCATCAAATGCAAACTTCATGGCACGTTCAAAAGACTGAAAATAAGTTTAAAACAATACATGTAATTTAACGAAAATATACACATATGCAGTTTCCATACAAATATAACCATTAATTTTAGCATATGAATATTTTTATGATATATTAGATAATGGCATTTAATTCATTATGTTATAAGAAATGGAAATAACATAAACTACTTATTTAACCTAATAAGAAGCAAAAGGACATTCATTGAAGAAAAAAAAAAAAAAAAGGGGTTATCAGACAGGTCCTTTGTTTTTAACTTATTACTATGTCAATATATTCATACTATAAAAGATAAAACATTAAAATGCATGCATTTATTTTAAATTTGAGGTAAGAAAAATAATAGAAGCACATACTTCTACTAAAATATTAAACTGAGATCTCCTACAAAGGCATATAGTCAGCAAATCATAGACTGCAGTTACATTATTATATGAGTGTATTCTTGCTTCTCGGAATTCTGGTGATAAATCCAAAACTGCATTTCTAACAGCCTATAAACACAAAATACACAACGTTAAATTTAAAACAAAAATACCCTTAAAATTGTACATTAAAATATAATAAATTATGTACAAATTTTACAAAATCAAAACTGAAGCCTCTTTTAAATTAAACATTTTTTAGTTAAAGCATTTTTAATAACAAATATATACTAATTCAGAAGTCAAACAACAAACATCAGCATTATATTTTCAAAATTTTGAAAATAAACGCTGATTTTTGTTGTTTGACTTCTGAATTAGTATTTATTCGGCGTGTTATTGTCTTAATTAACAAATATATACTTTATGATATAAAACAGGTCTAACTGAAGCACTGAAACCACTTACAACATTTGAAGCTTTTGGGCACAGTTATGACTGATACTCTATTAATCAAAAAGTATCATTTTGTGCATTATATTTCAACATGATTTATATAAGATTGCAAGGATTGCTGCTCTTATACATACCATAGCTTCACTGATAAACAGCAGCAGTAAAATTTCTTCATTTTCATCTTTGGGGGCAAATAAACTGAAAAAAAAAAAAAAAAAAAAAAAAAAAAAAATTAAGTCCATAAAAATCCACTAAAAATAAATAGAATGTGTAAAAAAAGTGTAACCAGTTTTAGCATGCTACTTAATGCCCTTATAAATTTGTAAAAGCTCTAGTGAAGTTAATGGATTCTGCTGTAAAAAAACACATTCTGAAGTTATTTATGTCTTCATGGACGATTGTAGCATATATTTGACCAATTTGAATTTTTTTAAGATACATACCATGCATCATGATGGAGAAAAGTCACTTGTAATAGTTTCCTACCTCACAAGTGAATTGGTAAAATTCCTCTCCTATCAGCAAAAGGTTACAGACACAGCAGGACTGCAAATACTTACTTAAATTCCTGAGATAATTTTATGAGAAATTATGCAGGAAAAGGTTTATACTAATTCTATAGCAGACATTACAAGTCTAGGGAGATTTTTAGTATTTAACCAGATTACTTCATATATACTTTAAGTATATTAGATCTATTTAATTATGAGAAGTACATTAGATCCATTATAAGTACATTAGATCTATTTAATTATGGGAAAAGATGCCTTTGTGAGAAAACTTTTGAAAGAAAACTGGCCATATTAGCATTACACATCAGGAAAAAATTGAAATTTCATACAGCAACCTTTCAAGTTTTGGAAACCAAAATGCACTAACCCACATTTTACAGCTTTAGCCACTGAACTAGCTTTCACATTTTTCAAAGCAGGATAACAGAAGCAGTTCATAAAATAAATACATATACTGTAAAATTAATATAATAAAAATTTAATGAATTTCTTTTTTAATTAAATGATGTTTTATATTCATTTTGATTGTATTAAATATTTATGACTATTTGAAATCAATTACTGAATTAGAACAAGATGAAGGTTATGCCGACAGAAACTGCTGCCGGCCATGCAATGATCTAAAAAATGAATATATGTCTGTATAATACTAATTTTCCTTAATGGTAAGAAAAAAATCTTATGTGGCCAGCACATGACTTCCCACCAATTCCCTATTTTAAATAAAATTGAGCTTCAAATAATGCGGTTAAAATATTGTAAATAAAATTTAATTATTTAAATGATACTAACTGGCCATGTTCAAAACCAGGTTTTTCTAAATTTATACCAATATAATCAAATGTTTGCCCTTTTATCATTTTATTAAAAATTATATTTTATGGAATAGTTGAATAGGCTTTTAACTAAAACTAAGTATTTATAATATATCTGAAATAAATATTTTGAAAGAAATACCATAATTTTCTTTTCTATGTTATTTCTATAGAAACAACAAATCTATATTCATTTTGCTAGACTATATGTCCATGATATTTAGGTTCAGTACACAATGCTTGTTCAATTACAGCAGCATGCTAAAATTGCCATGGACTTCAAGTAAAGTACCAGTTCGGGTTGTCTAATTTTACCCGAAATCTAATCAACTCTTTACACGAATGCAGAAATCTATATATGGGAAATAGATATTTTTGGAAGTTTGATGTACTAAATTAACGAGGAAGGATGCATACAAACCATATTATTGCAAAACAGCAAAAGTGTGTTGTCAGAAGTCTGATTCGGGCTTATTCATTGAAAACTCACTATTGAATTTTTGGACTGAAAACACTACCTTACCAATGTATATAGGTTACAGAAGATAAAAAAATGCATAGACCAATATAAAATTTTAAAAACTGTAAATAAGGATTCATATAAATAGAATCCCACATTTCAGACAATAGAATATATATAATTAGACACAGAGTTATTGTCCTTTACTCAAGAAAGAAAATTAAATTTTGACTTAAAATTTTTACTTTCAGTTGATTTTCTCATACTAAAAAAAAAAAAAAAAAAAAAAAAAAAAAAAATCTGAAAAATTTGAAATGAATAAAAATTCTATTAATACATGCACATATGCTCTGTGCTTCCATTATTTTCAGAATTGGTTATGGAAAACTCATCTATCAGTAGAAAATGATTTTGTTTGGTACATTTAAAAACTTTCCCTATCAATACATTTGCCTCAGTAAGAATGTTTGAAAAGCATTTATCAGTCATTATTCTTTTGATCAGCACTTTAAAACTCAGTTAAAATCACTTGAATATTCTTACAATTGTTTGAATATTCTTAACATAATTTAAAAAATCCTTTCTGTTCCAAATTTAATTTAAGATAAATCACGACTAAGCACGTGATGAAGCACACATTTCCTAAGAAGCCCAAAATTCAAGAAGAGTCATTTATAGCACTGCAGATATATATCATGAATTCTCCGCCCAAAAAGGTGTTAAATTTTGTAGGTAGATCACATTCTTATCAATGGTTCATATGTAACATGTATATGAGCCAGTTCCATTAGAAAGTCCTCCACAGAGGTATCTCTTCCCTTAGGCAGATAGCCGTAGTGTGCTTTGTCACAATCAACTAAACCAAACCTTGTGAATGGATCAAATGGAATTGCAGAACGTGATGAAAATTCCATTAATCATGGAATTGTGAATGCAATTTCTTGAGATGGATTGCATTCTTCCACACTGAATGTTAATGCTTCCATTATAATTTGGATAAGAAATATCATGTTTTGCCTTCAAGCAAACATTCCCTATCAATACATTTGCCTCAGTAAGAGTGTTTGAAAAACATTTATCAGTCTTTATTCTTTTGATCAGCACTTTAAAACTCAGTTAAAATTGTTTGAATATTCTTAACATAATTTTAAAAAAATCCATTTTGTTCCAAATTTAATTTAAGATAAATAATGACTAAACACGTGATGAAGCACACATTTCCTAAGAGGCCCAAAATTCAAGAAGAGTCATTTATAGCATTGCAGATACATATCATGAATTCTCTGCCCAAAGAGGTCTTAAATTTTTGTAGGTAGAACACATTCTTGTCAATGATTCATATGTAATATGTATATGAGCCATTAGAAAGGCCTCCACGAACATATTCCTTCCCTTAGGCAGATAGCCCTAGTGTGCTTTGTCATAACCAACTAAACCAAACCTTGTGAATGGATCAAACAGAATTGCAGAGCTTGACGAAAATTGCATTAATCATGGAATTGTGAATGCAATTTCTTGAGATGGATTGCGTTCATCCACACTGAATGTTGATACTTCCATTATGATTCGAATAAGAAATATCATGTTTTGCCTTCAAATAATGATAATTTTCAAGCATGGATATCTATCTGCAGTCAAGCATTCTTTATCTTCTGGATAAGAACTATACACATATTTTTATTTTCCTATACCTTATATTACAGTTCAACAAACATCATTTTAGTTTGCTCAGGGAAGATCCCCTATGAGTTTCATACACATATTCAAACTGTTATGCAAAAAGTAAAATTTGATGTTTTTTCCCCTTTGTAGTTGGGGCAAAATGAGCAAATATCTTTCAAAAAAAATTTAAATTGTTTGAACCATCATAAAACATCTGAATACTGAAGAAGATTCACTGTAAACTTCTCTCAGTATTTTATCTTTATCTATTACAAAATCTGGCATGTACAACTTACTTTTTTTTCATTTTATTTTTTGACATGGCTATATGTAATAAAGGAAAAACTTTGTTCCACATGCTACGATAATTCATTTACATATGACACAATTATGTTTGAAGATACAACATTATTTTTGAAGATACAACATTATTTTTGAAGATTATGAGATATGCCATATATATGTAACTTGACTATTAAAAAGGAATCATTTTATTTTTTAGAATATTTTATCAGCATGAAAAGAAGATATTACAAAACTACAGTTAAAAACATTTCTAAGTCTTCCACATTTACTCCATACCTAACTTGATTTCAGTATTTCATCACAGTTCACTTTATTTCTGTTCTCATGTAATCATGTAATCACATAATTCTTTTCCCTCCTGTATTTCTGAATGAATGTGCATATTGAATAGATTTGCTATATAATTTGAGAATTATGTTCAGAAGTTTAGTAGAATTACTTAGAATTGAATGATTATAGATCTACATAATGTATAAAAATGGTTCCTACTTTACACCCATGTATTTCTTAGGTTTCCAGGGGCTTTCAGGATTTTTTCCTTCTTGTCTCAGAGCATAATCAACATAATTCTTTTCTGAAACTCCCCGTATGAGAACTTCAGCCAACTGACGAGACATTGTCTAAGAAATAAACAAATCAGATTTTCTATAATTCTTCTTTTTACATATATTTAAAATCAAATCACAAATCACTACTTATGCTAGAATAAGTTTTTAGATAAATATAAATAATAAATTTCTTTATTTGCTTCACACTATCAAAGCTTATTTTCTAAAGACTTCACTCATAAATGTTTAGAGGAAAAAAGCGAAATTACCTATGAAAAATAATTCGCACTTGCATTATTACAATAAATTTTTACCTGACGTAAAGACTGTGTTGAACTGGTTTCAATGGCACTTAAAACTTTTCTGTACTGATCGATAGCATTTCTAAGCTTCCTATGAGACAAACAGGAAAAGACTTTATTTCTAAAAAATTATTAACACAATTCAAAGGGTGTTTTTTCAAAAGAATCATATAAAATAATCCCAAAGGTACAGAAATTTGATAAATTGTAGCTTTCAGTTTTAATACTTAAAATTCACAATAAGAGTTCTAAAAGTTGTTTGAATGTGGATTTCATAAAAGAATACACAAAATGCATAATAAAGGTTAAATTATAATGCACAGAAGTTGCATGCAATATCTTATAACAATGTAGCAGAAAGATTTTGTCAGAAGGATTTTTATTTTTTTTAGGATCAGTTCACAATTTTTGATGACCAAAGTTAATAAGCACTAGAAAGAGATAATGAACATATATATACACAAATGGATATATATACATATATAAAAACAACAGATAATAATTAAATCAAGAAAGGATTAAAAATCTAACATAAAAGTACATACTTCAAAACTGAAACAATTCAATAGAATAACAATAACGTAACATAATAAAATTGTCAACAACATTTTATATAATTTTTATTATATTATATTAATGTCATTTTATTGATTCCCCCCCCAATTTTGAAGTGTGTGCTTCCTCCTAGACTGTTAACCTTTTTCTTAAATTAATTATTACCTTTAGTTTATTTAATTAATTTCACAGCATACTGCATAATTAAATAACTTATTATCTTAATTTAAAATTTTCAAAATTTTCAAACTTTTGTTTATATGTGCGCGTGCAAATCTAACCCCCGAATTTTTTTAACCTTTTTTTTTATATACATATATACATTATAAATTTAATATAATATTTTAAAAAATGACTCCCTCAATTATAAATTGGGGATAATTTTTAAAGCAATAAAGCAAACTGGAAATAATTTTACATTTTGATATACCATGCAATTCATCATAATTAGAATTAAAACAATTAATTACAAATTTAAAGTGCATTATTTTATTTTCTCATTAATAGTTGACTAAAAATGTTTCACAGATTCAATTATATAATTACTAGTTTATCATTTATTATTCTTTAAAAAAAAAAGGAAGGAAGAAGAAAAATATACAGGAAATTGAACACACTTAACAAATATTTAACACACTATTTAGCCTAAGTATTAATTTTAATTTAGTTAATATGCGGAATTTCATCTTCAATTGAATAACGGTCTTCATTTATGCAATCAATTCCCGAATAATCAGAGGCAGATTATCTAGGCCTTAACTTGTTTATTATGGAAAGATGGAAAAACGACTAACACAAACCATCATAATGAAGCAGAATTTCTATGGGAAATGTAAGAGTTAGCATTAATGATAACAGATGATGTTGCATTATTTAGGAATTGCTGTTAGCCACAACATTAAATAATTTAATTAAACATAATCTGAAGCATATAAATATTGTTAAATCATGCATTAAAAATAAATTGCTAAATCATAAAAATAAATTACATGCATACAGTCATTAATCTTATGTTTCCTATAGACTTGACCAAAATTTAAGAGTAATATACACAAATCCGTTACCTTTTTCTATTTTGAGGTGTATTTTTAAATTGTTAGCAGTGCTTTCTGTTAATTATTATATAATTATTCCTCTTTTCAATGTTTTTTTTTTTTTTTTTTTTTTTTTTTTTTTTAAACTGCTGTTGAATATACAACAATCAATTGTTGTTGCTTATGCTCACTTGTCTGAAATAGTCACCCCAAGCCCATGAAATTCCTCATGGCTAGGAGTGCAAATTATGGCTGCTGTTGGCACCATTCAGACGATGGTGCAATTTAGCTCAGCTCCGCCCCAAATTTTAATGGAGATCACCCCGGGGGTATGGGTCTGAGGGTCTCTCACCCCTCTCCCCTTCCACTAAACCACACTAGGGGATTTTCAGCTCAACCTATATTTAGAGTGCCACCATGCCACACCGACACTATACATTTACAAACATCCATGCCTTCTCTGGGATTCTAACCCGGGCCCTTCAGCATGGCAGTCAGCGACGCTAACCACTATACTGGTTGGCCAGCTATACCACAATTTCGGGCTACTTGTGGATGTCATTTCCAATAATCATGAGTCTACTGTACATATTTTTACTATTTAAGACAATAATGCAACTAAAAGTTGATAAATTTATGTTACATGTCTTTTCAAAGAAGGATGCTGATACTCTGATATAGTTAAAAACATATAGCTTGGAGCAGATTCTGTAACCAAGTTTTAAACAAATTGACCATATTTGCCACCTTTACTTTATTACCTGCAGTATTAATTTAAATAAAAAAATCTGACAACCACATGACTTCCTTGTGTGGAATATTAAATTATATGCATTTTTCCCTGCATTTCATTTAAACTTATTGGATTGAATTAAAGCTACTTCGTCGATAGCGCATAAACCACAATAGGATAAATGCACTTTTTTAAAATTTACTATATTTGTTTACTATAGCGACACTCTGATGCCAGGTTCACTTAACAACGTCACATTTTGTTCATATTATACCTCAGAATGCATAAAATTTATATCATTTGAAGAACTATTTAATTGTTGCCACATGTTCTATTCAAATACTATAATAAATCTAAAACGATATATTAAAGAAATTAAGCAAACAAACAAAAAAAGGAACATTTTTTCACAAACGATTTAATATTTCTCATTCAATTAATTCAGTTCTCACTTCGCGACAATGCAAAAATACATAAAAACTCAAAATATCGATATTAAAAATTACAAAAAAAATCTTAAACACTTATTTTCTCGAATAAAGTACAGAACAGATTAAGCATGATTTAATTCACAATAATAAATTAAGCTGTCTATATATATATATATATATAAACACAAAATACAGTTAAAACAATAAAAAGAAATACAATTAAAATTCGAGTTTCTACGCAAAAACAAACAATTTGGCCAGCAGGCAACAACGCAGATTTTTTGGTTCACAAAAATGAAAGTTTAATTTTGGTCTCACTCCGAAAAAAAAAAAAAAAAAAAAAACTGAGGGTGTAGAAACTGAATTCACTATTCTGCTAAATTTCAAATGTCAACAAATCTGGCTGCCGTGGTAAACAAAAATTAGGCCGGAATTTTTGAGTGAAAATCAATTGGTTCCTGATTTGTTATCTCTAAATAATACAAAATGACTGCAGAATCATACATTTTTTAGGTCTTAATACTTTAAATCCTTTTAAAATTTGTTTTCAATGAGACAAAATAACTTTCTTTTATTAATATAAACAACTTTAAATTTCAAAAGTTATTCATCACACATAATGATTTCTATCATAAACAATAAAAAAATAGTAATAATTAAACTGCATATATAAAACACCTATGTATATTTATGGCATTTGCTTTGTGCAGGCCCGGATTGAATAGGTGTGGGGCCTGATTGGATTTTTTTTGTGTGGCCCTCTCTCTCTATAAAAATTTTTTTCCTTCATTTTGATGGTAATGCGGGGCCTGACTGAGCCCAATGGCCCTTTATCTGGCTATGACTTTGTGGTTTCAGGGCACGACCACTGAGTCACTAGAGCATTGTGTCACAATGTTCACAATACTCTAGAGGCTCAGTGGTCGCTCCTTGAAACCACTGCTCTTCACAATGGTGTTTTTTGGATTTCAAATAGGAATGTTTATTTTTAAGTATGACCGGATATAAATAAGGGGCTTTAAAACCTTAGAGTTATTTTATTACTAAACAATACATGCACCTGCCCAGTGAAAAGGTCTTTCTTTCCCAGAGATTTTTCTCTGACTTCAACACGCTTGCTTCCTATGTGATTTTATACATTATTTTTGTGTGGTTTAAATATAATGTAAACATACTTTGCTATAATTAATAGAAATTGCCTAAAAGTTTTATTTAAATTTAAAATATTTTCTAAATATTTTGGGGCAAAATACGAATAAAATAAATATGAATGGGTAACGAAAGATCCGTACCAAAGCCACAAAGACCAAGCCTCTCCCCTCCATTAATATAAAAAAACGCAAATTTCATGATCCAGGTGAAAGAGACTAAATAACGCTGGACTGGGCATATACCAGTAAAATGCAGAGCCAGGCAGTGCACATTTTGTTGCACATGGGAGAAACCTCGTAGAACAAAATTACATACGCGAATTGTGCAATATGGGTTTATTCATGTACCAAAAAGACAAAACATGCTTTGGACAGTGTCACAAAAAAAATTTGTTCTTTGACAAAAAAAAAAAAAAAAAAAAAAAAAAAAAAAAAAAAAACACCGAGTTATTTTTAATCCTTACTTTACTGAGTATTTTTTCCCATTTATCTGAAGGTCTTTATAATGTAGGTTCTTATGTTTTTACTGCTATAGAAAAATTACATAAAAGCTTATTTTTTAATTTTTCTGACAATTTGTAAAATAATGTAAAAAATCTACACATAACGTAACTCTTACATTCATTTTTTTTAAATTCGCAAATTTCATCCATTTATTGGAAATGCGCACAGAAAAATGTAAGTTTTTCCCCTCTACTACCTCAGTGAGTTTCAAAGCCCTAGACGTGCGCTGGTTTCACAATGCAATCACCACCCACAGATCACTGGGTAAGAGTAGAATTTTTTAAATTCATACATTATTTGTTTCTATGATCAAAATATTCAATTTCTAGATTTTTTTAGTTAAAAAATTATAAAAAAATATCGCGTTTCACAATGTGACCACCACCCACAGATCAATGGGCAACAGTAGATTTTTTTAAATTCATATATTATTTGTCTATAGGATCATAATATTCAATTTCTAGAGTTTTTTTAGTTAAAAAATTATAAAATAATATTGCGCACATCAAAGGGTTAAAAAAAAAAAAGAAAATTCTGACGAATGAGAACCCAAATGAAAAGCAACTGTTCATTTTAAGGACCACATTAAAATAAAAAGTGTGTAAGTTAAAAAAAAAAAGTTAAATAAGAGTACATTTTCCCTAACTATTTTATCACATAAATCTGGTTTATTTTTTTTAGTGCTACTTAACACAAAAAAATAAAGGATATGTACTTATTTCACAAAATCCAAAATTTTTCAAGATAAAATAAAAATCACTTTTTATTGACAAGTTAAATAAATCATGCAATAACAATATAAATTATAGCACTTTGATATTGTGTAGTCCAAGTATAAAAAAATAAAGAAGTGAGAATTTTTTACCCATTTTTAATGTACAGAATTGGGGCTCTTTGTAAAGCAGTTTCCAGAATAGGTCCAATGCGATACTCTGTATTTGGAGGCAGAGGTGATCCAGAAGTAGGAGGATTTGTTCCAGACATAAGCTGAGGAACAGTACCCCCTGTGTTTCCTTGTGTACGCTCCATTTCTTGCAAATACCTTAAAGTTAAATCTCCAGACTTAACTAGGCACTGGAGGATTTGCTCTTCCCTTTCTGCAGTCTTATACTTGCTAGTTGAAGTAGGAGGTACTTTTTCTAAACATAAGCCTAGATTAAAAATAATAACAAACACATAATGTTTTAAATATGTAACACAATAAATTTACAGATATTTAAATACATTGTTACTTTATGACACAACATAAAAAAGTGAAACATATTTTATGATAACTTGAATTCAAAAGCCTAAGTATTCAAAGTTTTAATGCTTAATCACTTATAAATTAGACATTATGGTACTCTTCTGTTATTGGGACTGGTTAAGAAATGTGCACGTGTATGCGCTTGTGTATATATGTATGAGCATATATATATGTGTGTGTGTGTGTATAGATACACACACACATACACACACACATGCATTACGTGAGGACATACATCCATACATACAACAGGGTTGCCACTCAAAGAGGAGAATGAAATTCTCTGACTTTTCCAGGTTTACCAGGTGAGTTTTGAAAAATTCCAGTCTATCTGCATAGTGCATGTTAGCTGTGCTGAGAGGTAAATTAATTATGGTACCATTTGAAAACACAAAAATTTGCCAATTGCATATGACTTATAATCTGCAAAGCATTACTATTATAACTATAATGCAGGGTTCGTACGCATTTCTGCACACGGAAATTAAGTACTTTTAAGAACTTTTAAGGACCATTAATGGAAAAAATTAAGGACCTATGAGCAAATGGGAACTGAATAAATTCAATTAAAAATATTATTCTATGCCTGAATTTCACTTTTGTAATACCATGCTAAAAATAAAACAGATCCCTAAGTAGTATGCATTATTACTAAACATGAATTAATTAACATAATTATTAATAAGTTTGAGAATAAAATAAACTTTATGCAATTCATCAAGTAGCATTAATATTTTACACTTATAGTAGTTGCGACATATTTGAAAGATAGATAAGTCACATTTACGTTCTTACTAACAGTTAGCTTTATGTTGATTTTTTTTATGTCTCATTTTGTCACATACTTGGTCAGTCTAGAGGTTTAGCCAATTCTGTAACAGCAAAAAAGCCAGAAAATTTTGGAAAAAAAAAAAAAAAAAAAAAAAAAAAAAAAAAAAAAAAAAGAGGAGGGAAAAAGTGTAAAATTAATTTTATAGAGAAAACTGATGTATTTTCTGAGAATTTTGAATATTCTGAGACAATTACATGGAAAGAACGCTTACTACGAAAAAATTAAAAAGAAGACATTTTTAATTAATTGCATAGCTAATTTTGGTTTTGCTAAGAGCTGTTTCGTATATTATGCTCTATAACATTATAACTTGTGTATTTTTCAGATTCAAAATATTGTATAATAAGTTGCCAAAATGAAACTTTATAATATGACAGCAAAAAATAAAAAAGTTTTATTTTAATGTTATTTTTAAATATAATTTCAACATGTTATGATGTTTAAAAAAAATCGTTGACAAATTTTCAAATCTCAGAATTAAAAATTTTCTATAGAAACTGATCTTAAAATCGCCAAAAAGTTGACATGTCGCCAAATTTAGAACCGTTTAATAAAAGAATTCACATCCCCAAAAGCGAAAACTTATTTAACAGCTCTTTATTAGAAAATATGAATTTCCAAATGCTTATGTTTCACTTCTTGGTTAGAAACTCGAGTATCCCATCATATATATTAGAAATAGAAACAAATTATAACCCATTCAAAAGATAACCATATATGTCAGGGAATCGGCAAAAATATTCCTCCAAAATGCTAATTCACACTCAAAATGGCAGTCATAAAAACAGACAGAAATTTCAGATGATTAAAATTAAGGACCTTCTGTTGATTTTGGCCGAAATAAAGGACTTTTAAGGACCAAAAATCGGTTCCCAAAAATTTAAGGACTCTTAAGGACCGTATGAACCCTGATAATAGGAGTTGTTTTCTCCACTGAAGATCGAGCTCAGAATCTGGCCAATCTGGTTAAAAAAAAAAAAAAATTGTTTGTAGACATTTTGCAGCTAAACAAAAGAAAGAAATCTATTTAATGATATTTTGAAAAATAAATTCAGGTATTTTATATTTATAGTATTTAGCAGCATACATAAGCAAAAATATGTACATTAAATTTCATGATAGTATGTCATCATACTGCTAGATTTTAGTTTCAGAATTATGCCAGAGAAAATTGCCTGAAATTTGAAAGTATTATTATCTAATAATAAATAAATTTAGAGGAAAGAAGCAAATTAAATAATATAAATAACACTAAAATGAAGTTATTTTACTTTAAAATTGGATTACAATAATCAATGATATTTTGGTGAATATAGTTATATTAAACTTTAGCCTAGATGACCGATTGCTATTTTTTTTTTTTATTTTACTGAAAAATGAAAAATAAGGCATTTATTAAAAAAAAAAAAAAAAAAAAAAAAAAAAGATTAAAAAATTTTGTGCTAAAATCCTAGTTTACGGTACGATCTTGGCCACAATTTTGAAAATTGCCACAAACACCAAAATGACCGGTTTACTGTCAACACCTTCTTAAACAGAGAGATAAGTGTGTTGTTACTGCTCATCATAATGTCGCCAAATCCCGTATGTATCATACATGGAGGTCAAAATGAAAAAATACGTATTGTTAAGATGGAAAACTTCTCCGGAACAGGAATGATTCCGTCCCAAAGCAGAGGCAAACAGCTGCGCATGTGTGAAATAATATCTGTCGCCAAAGCATGAAGCTAGCGTCAAAGTTCAAAGGTCACATTTATCAAGAGTACATAAAACAAATATTGTTTAAACTTAAATGGAAAAGAAAATATTATTCAGCACAAGTAAATTAATTAATAGATTAGTTCTTTTGATAAAAAAAGTATAAAAATCCAAGTATAAAATATTGCAAAAATCAAAGAAGAAATGCTTTGTCAAAGAAAGTTTCTTCTTAAAACGTGCTCCACCATTTCCTATACACATCGCGGAGGGGAAAATTCTTGCTGGCAGATTCTATCACCAAATCCTTTGGCGAGTTTTCCCTCTGCTTGCTAGTGGGGTTATAGCAAAGTAATTTACATTACGTCTATGAAACCTTTTTTTCTTTACATAGACGTTCTTTCATTAGAAGAGTACATGAATAGCCTCCATGGTACCGTATACTAAGGTTAAACTGATTTTGTTGTAAACCAGAATGGAAAGGTATTTTCTTTAGTCCAACATGAACTGCACATGCGAGTCTCTCGATTCTTGAGGCTACTGGAAACTAAAGTTGCCAGAAACTTGCTTTGCTATTCTAATAGACAATTTCATGGGAAAACTGGCTCTATGCCAGCTGCTCGAATGACACTCACACGATACACAATTCAGCAACAAAGTTATTGCTTCCAACGTTGGCGTAACACTTGCTTTTTTGGGGGGATCGTCGTACAGCGTTTTCTGACTTTTCCAGATTTGAACTAAAATATTTAAATTCCTTGACTTTTTTGGTCAATTTTCGAATTCCCTGACTTTTTCTGGTTTTCCCTGTAGCGTACCAACCCTGATACAAGCATACATACATACATACATTTCTGAATCTAGAAAAGCACTATCTGATAATATAGAGTTCCAATAACAGATCTAAATCTTTAGTAAAATTTGTTCTGACCTATATATGTATAAAAGAGAAGTTATAACTCTCTCTTACCTTTTAAAGCAAAAGACTCTGCAACTACTTTCATAATGCGATTGCTCAGCTGCTTCTCAGTCAGACTATCCAACCCACCTTTATTCAAGTGAGAAAGCGCATCTTCATACAGCCCTTGCGCATATAACAGCTTTGCAAGAAGTAAATGAGCATCTCGCATAACACCTAGCTAAAATGATTACAGTAAGAAATAGCACAAACAGTATATCACTACAAAATACACAAAGGAAAGCACTGAAAAATATTTTAACATACACTGTATAATTCTCAACTGGAAACATAATTATGCTAAGTAATTAGCATACAAGACTTGCAATGAAAAATCAAGATTTTTTCTAAATTTAGCACAAAAGTTTACAGAAACGGAATTTGTTGCCTTCATATCTGATGTATTGCACGTAAAATTTTTTTAAAAAAATAAATAAAATATTACACAGTTTAATGAATCGTCAAAATTTTATGTAATAAGAAATTTGGTACTATTCGGTTTTGAGGACCGTGAAAAATTGCAGCGAAAATGTATACACAAAAGCGCCAAATCTAGCAAACGCGCCCATTTAACATTGCGCCAAATCTAGCGTACACGCTGATTTCAGATTAAGTAAGTTTATATAGTTCTACATTTCTTAAGACGCCGTTGAAATACTACTTTAATTTTTAAATCCCTTTTAAATATCTGATGGATTTAACAATTTGGGAATTACCCATGATGAAAAGTCGGCAATAGAATTTTGGCTAAAGTGCAGAATCACCCATTGTTTGACGCGTTTTTAAGAATTGCACATACTACTATTTTCACTTAAAAAAAATCCCAGAATTGCACAAAAATGGCACTGCACACACCCTTGGCTTTATCTAGTACACGACCTATTTTCACTTAAAAAGTAAAAGAAAATTGACAAAAATCGAATTGTTTTTACCGTTGTAAAAAGCGGCAAACAAATAAGTGAGCGATTCTGCACTTTACCGAGAATATTTTCAAAGAAAAGGCATCATTCATTATAGAAAATTACGCTTGAACAACCAACGAGATGAAATTATGCTTTAGCGATAAGTCGGTAGCGAAATAGCGATGCAGGCCTCCATTCAGTTATGTTTAGCAATTTTTATATAAATAAAAATAATGATCTGAAATAGTTATTTACTCTTTTGCTTCCATTCAGTCATGTTTAGCCTTTTTCGCTTAAATTATAATAATAAAAAAATAAATTATATGAAATTAACCTTTCATCTAAATTGAAACATTAATCTTTGATAGTTATTTACTATTATACTTACTTTCCTGCCGCAATTATTTTTGGCAGCATTAGCATCAACAATAGTTTGGCGATTTTTTACGGCTCTCGAAACAGAATAGTACCAAAAATTTAAATTATACTGTAATAATAAATGTGCGCTAAAAATCAAAAATCAATATTATTACAGCACTAACTGCTACCAGTGATTTTCACTGATGGTAATTTCTTAGTATTTATCTGCCTTGATGATACAATCATGTAAATTCTCTCTTAACTTTGTATATTATTATTCTTTACTTAAATTAGCTTCTCGTAATTTTTCTTTACTGTTTATTTAGTTATTAATTAATTCAGTTTTTTAGGATTTTCCAACTAAATGCATAAAAGTTACTCATTTTTCACAGAATCATGTTACACTATTGAAGGACCGTAACATTTTGTTTTAATAAAATTACAGTGGTTCTCAAAAGTGTTTGTACACTTAGGATTCTCAGTGAAATATTGCTTTACTCATTTAAAAAAAAAATAACATTTGAGAATGAGAATTTTTTAATACTATCTATAACTTTTGCTTAGCAAAAATACATGAGTTAATTTATGAACATGGTATTTTTTTAAAATCAATAATCAAAAGAGTAATAAAAAAGTTATCTCACAAAAGTCTTCATACACTTTAAAGAAATTAGCACATATTAGTAAATGTTGTAGCATTTCTGTTAGTTAGTATTTTGTAGGATATCTTGCAGCATTTATGACAGCTTTCAAAGATCTGGGGGTATGAGGTCCTCTGGGGTATCACGTATAGAGTTCGTTATTTTGTAGTTGTTGTTTGTAATATCTGCATCAATGTCCCTCCATTCTTCCATTTTTCCTGTTTTTAGTTCAGATTTCATTTTTAGGTTGTGTTTACATACTCTAACCCTTTAAGTCCCCCGAATGCATTCTATCGATTTTTTTATCTTGTGACTGAGGTGTTTTCAGAACTTGTGGACAATTATAGATGCACCAAAGACAAAAGTTGAAGATCATGTGCCTAAAATCGTTATCCTGATAAAAAATACAGTTGTTTTCAATACCCAAATTTTTTGTGGATAAGTTTAAATTACATCCTAAAATATTTAAATAAATAGCATGGTTCATTATGCCATCAATAAATACTAAATTACCTAATCCTGTTTCTGACATGCACCACACACTGCCATGCTTTACTGTTCCAACCACCGCCACGCTTTACTGTTCCAACCAAGTTTCTGGGGATCAGGTTCCTCTTTTTTTCTTCTCCACGCAATTAAAAGCCAATTGGAACCAAGAACGTTAAATTTCCTTTCATATGCAAATAAGACATGGTACCAATATGCTTCCGGCTTATTTACTATTGATTTTGCAAAGGAAGGAATAAGCTTTCTATTTCTTGCACATGAAAAAATTTTCTTCGAGCAGAGGGCGCATCTCATACTAAAACCTTCATAGTACTCAAACGTGGATTTTCCACAAATTTTCTAACTACAAATCTCTGATCATGTTAAGTTTGCCGGACTACCTCTTCTTACTTTAGGTTCTATCTGATTTTTTTCTTTAAAGCTTTTTATCATAAATTTACTAATTTAGCAATATCCCAGATCAATTTTTCACCATTATGATGAAAAATTATCAATTTTAAAGTGATATTTGTTTTCTTATGACTAGGAGCCATTTTTAAATATTAAATAAGATATAACAAAGTACGCAAGCAAAGAATAAAGCCAAGCACATTTTTAAATGTCATCAAAATGCAAAAGTAAAAAAGACAATTTTATTTATTAAATTTTACGAAACTTTTCAGTGGACAATCAGTTTTGTGCCATGTTTTATCTAGGCTTCCTTATATTTTTTAATTTCAGAAAAAGTCATAAAAAAGTCATAAATAAAAAAATAAAAGTTCAGTTTTGCTTTACATTTGAATTCAGTTTTGGCATACACCTCTTTTTCTACAAATTTTTAAAGTGTGCGAACACTTTTGGGAGTCATTGTACATTTATGCATCATAAAAGAAAAAATATGGTAAAAGGGAGAAATACAAAGAAACCATAATAATGAGAATACAAAACTGGTTTGAAGAAAGCCAGATCATATTTACAACAGTCCTATGCTTTGTTTCCTGATAGCGCAAGCAGTTAGTTTCACTTAAATTTTACCTGGAAAAATTGGATAATAAAATCAAAGATGGAACAATTATTTTTGATAGGTATGCATTATTAAAACCAGTACAGAAGAATATGAGGGGTGTAACAGATTTAAATAATATTAAAATCTTGTAGTTTAAATGACTTAAATAGATGAACATTAAGGTATTTGTGAATGGCAATATTTGAAACCAGACTCGAGTGCCACGTGCGACTCTCACACGAAGAATGTAATTTAATTTTAAATGATAGAATATGTTTTATCTTCTTGTTTGTATGTCGCCATTTTTTTGAGTGTTAAATAAAAGTTATTGCTGTGTTCCATCATTGGAGTTGCTTCATTTCGCCAAAGAAGTATTACAGGGGGAATATGCAGAACAAAATTTCTTTAAGTTCATAGCATATTTTTTGGGGTTATTACAGCATATTTAATCAATTTGCAGGGGGATAAAAATACCAGGGAAACTGCAAGCATAAATCCACATTTCTACAGATTTTCAATTAAATACATTTTTAAAGTTATTTTTCAGTATTCATATTACGTCAAAACTGTGAAATTTGTATAAAAAATTACTAGAAAAGGAAAAGAAACTTATAGCTGGATATTTTTCCAGAGTTAAATTTTCGATGTAATGTGTTTTTTCTCATAAGGATATTCTGTACATTCATAATTTAGACATGCTCTATTTTGCAGAGATGAGAAGCTTCTTCAGGAAAACAATTTTTCAAAAATATATCAACTATAATTCAAATGTTATATATCTTACATGCTTTATGTTCTGTTTTCTAAAAATGCCACACAAACAATTATGTACTTATAAATCACAGAAAATTGTCTTATGATGGTTCGAAGGAACCTCATTTTGCTGTAAGATCGGTAAAAGTCATCTAAAAATAAAACAGTTTATTTTAACTTTAAATCTCACATTCTAATGAAGAACAACATACAAATTTACCTTAGCACCTTGTTCACTAATACATGTCTGCAAATATCTCTTTGCTTCAGTCAATCCAGTTTTTGCTTTTGAGATGTTACTTTCAATAGGGGGGCTTTCTTCAAGAAATTGTTCCAATTTGCATTCTCCAATAAGAAAATTTACTAGCACATCTGAAATAACAACAAAAAATTAAATATATATTATAAGTAATGGTTATTCAATTTTTATATATATTTTATAACTTCAGAAATTATATACAAGACAGAATTTCAAAAGTTATAAAATATTAAAACAGTATAAACAATTGCATTTTTAAAGAGATATTATTAAAACAAATACTTAAATACAAAACACTGAAATCCAATGTTGAAGAGATATAAATTCCAAATTATAAGCACTCTCTGAATGTGTAAAATACAACAGAAACAAGGTAATTACGTCCAATTTTGCATTTTATTCACCTCCTTATCATAATTTGTTTTATTCAAAGATGCAAAAAATCTTAAAACAAGGTAATTATTGCCCAGTACTGCTATATATTCACTTCCTTGTCATAATTTATTTATTTAAAGATACAGAAAATTTTAACATTTCTCACTGAAAGACATAATCTACATACCACCAAAAAGTTTTTGAATAAATTTTTGAGATGATATGGAACTAACAGACATAACTCCTGCTGTCTTAGCTTCAAGAACTGCAACAGTTAAGTGCTTAACCATGCAATCACTAGAAAATGATTCAATGCCAGCCTGTATACATGCCAAGAGTCATTAGATGGCTCAATGCCAAGCTTTTAAATAGATGCACGGAACATTAAGATTTAACTTGTTGATACACAGTATAAATTAATTATTACTATAAAAGGAACCATTCATGAAATGAATCAAAAATATATTTTAAGTTAATGATGATGTAGAGTTTTAGGAATGCTAATAGAGAGAATCTTTTACTTCAGGGAAGTGAAAGAATTTAATTTTCGAATAGATTTTCTGGTTTTGAATTTTAAAAATATAAACTTTTCTTCACCTATAAAAGATAGGTAACAAATGATAAAAAGACTTAGCAATCCTGAATGATATGTTAAATATTTCAATAATTTAAAATAAAATCATGTACAATAACTAAAATATATAATTTATAATTGATAAACAAAGGCATACATTACAACAGATTTTTGATTACGCATTCAAAATAATTACTTACTCTTGTAACAAATACTATATGTTTCATTTATTAAAATGGACTCCAGCAGATAAAAACTAAAAAGATTTGTTCATGTTTTAGAGAAAACACATGCTGCTAGAAAGTTTGTGCAATTTGTTTCCTTAAAAACATCCTTATTTAGATAATAATAATTTGAATACATAAATGCTACTAGCTCGATTTGATATAACAACTGAATTTTAATTACATATTGTTCGATTTGAAATATTTTTCTTTCCTTTTTAAGTTTCCAAGGTACATTATTCTAGTTATACTTTATTGGAATAATATATTATCAACACTCCATTATAATGATACAATACTGCTGCCATTTATCTTAAGTTCCATTAACCACATGGACAAACATGTAAAGAACTGAATAGCTACATATATAACTGTCAACTGTTCACTAAATGAGAAGTGCTAATTTAAGTTCAAATGAGAAGAGAGCAAAGTGCATTTTATTGTCAACACTTGAGAAGCATTGAATTAAGTTAGTATCAACTCACAACATATGTCATTTCTGGCAACCTTAACTTTTTCACATTGAAGTTGTCCAAAACATCCAGCCATTCAGACATCGTCAGGTCACCCAAACGCATGAATTATTTTCTGCCTAGTGCTTTCTACCAATCACATGCATTGGTAGAGATGCATTGGTCACATGCATCACATGCCAATAGTGCATGGCTCATTGTTTTTGGGTGTTATTAAATGACATGCCAATCATTATTTTGAAGCGACTTAAAGTAGTTCTGTTATTTGAATGTGCCTTCCTTCTCCTTTGTTTAGGTCCTATTGATGGCCAAAGTTGCAATCCTGTCCTAAGGGAAAACACACACATTGGTGAAAGCACATGAAGATGCCAAGAGAGAAATCTTTGCTTTATTTATGTAGGTTATTGTTAGCATTGTAGCATTCTACTTGGCATGGGGAAAGAAATCAATTTCAACAAAATACATATATACAGGCATTTTAGATGTTTCAGTGAAACAGGTTTTGGCCTCTACCAATGCTATAATGAGTTAATTATAGCATTAGCATAATAGAAATACCAATTTAAATTGATACTGAGAGATACAAAGCAACTATGCACTCTGAGCAGCCATTTGTAAAGACTTTCCCTTAATTCAGCACTGACCTTGAATGGTAGTTGAGTTTAAAATTTTACTCAGGTCATCATCATCACTACAGTACCATAACCTAGAGTCAAGTCTCTTTACTGATAAGTTTCATTTTTGTTTCAAGAGTGGTTCCAGACATGTTACAGTTTGAAAAGAGCAAAACACATGCAGTCGCCTGAAAATATCTACAAAAGATACTGCTGCAAATGTGTATAAGCAGTTTCCCTTTAATATCATCACTGCATAAAGGCACTCGCTAGACATTTGCATGACAGAGCCGATTAGGATTGACACAGACCTGGGGAAGAGTCTCTATGTATTTCAGTAAAATGTCAGTCAGATTAGAATTTACTTCTGTGATCGTAAGTATGACACTCTGCCAAAGAATGGTTGTGATTTATACTTACATGTTGGTCTTCCATGGCCCCATACTACTATCTAAATTTTTTGTCAACATTTCGAACTTAAAGCCAGAGCTTGTTTGCAAAAACCACGTTTTTAACACACAATTTACGTGAAAAATCCGGAAAAAAAAAAAAAAAAAAAAAATATTAGATAAGAAAAACGTAAAGTTTACTAAAAACCAAAAATATTTGACAGGAATCTACGTACACAGCGATCTGTTTTAACTTAAAAAAAAAAAAAAATCAGAGAATTGCACAATCTATACAGCGTAAGAATCTAGAAATTACGCACACCTCACTAAAATAAACTAAGATAATGCAGTGAATTGCACAATCTAGGCACTGCGCACAGCCTCGACATTGTGCATAAATCAATAAAATAAAAACTAAAATCTAAAATAAATTACAAAGAATTAAAAAAAAAACAATAATGACAGAAATTCATAGAAAAAAAAATGAACACAACATTCTACAAAATAAGAACAATAAAATAAAATGCACTCACCACTGTGTATGCTTCTTCAGCAGAAATATCAATTTCAAACATCAGCAAAACTCGTCAATTTCCACCACTTTATCCTCCCTCCCCCCAATCTTCTGAGACACAGAGCATACAAAGTCCAGCATACATTCGTGAATAAAATTTCATCCATATGTTTTAATACTAAATTTACCTTGCACACAATTCAAAATACATGACTGAAATTTACATCTTTCATTGCAACATAAGCCATTTCAAAACGTCCACCAAACCAACCAACCAGCAAATAAAACCACTCCAACAAAATTAAGTTTCAACATCAAAAGTGTTGCCACACAAACAAAATCACACCAAAAACCATCGCAGAACACACAATCGTACCAAAAACCAGTGTATAACACATATCGAAACATTTGGCGACGCCATACATCTGAGGGTGTCTACTTATTATGAATATGCTTTGTTATTGCAGCAACTTGTGTACCATCTAAGATACAGCATAGAAAATAGTTATAAAGCTTGCATTTTGGTCAGAGGTCACTATACATTATTTCAAGATATAAATTTATACATATATATCTTGAAAAGTTGGGTACTCTTCTATTATTGGGATTGGATTCAGATGTGTATGTACGTGTATGCATATGTGTGCGTACATACACACACCATACCTACATGTACAACATTCATCCATGAACACATACATCCATACATTTCCAAATCCGGTTCCGATAACAAAACAGTACCAAAAGTTGTAACACCAATATTTTCCCATCTCAGTTTATATTACATTTACTATATTCTTATTTAGATATACAGTCAAAAGTCGCTAATTCGGACACCCATAATCCGGACCTCAAAGCTACAAACTTTCTGCGCATGCGTCAAAAGGACGCATGCGCGTAAGACCTTTGCGGCTGCGAATATGCTTGTGCGCATGCGCAAAATACGTTTACGAGTGCGCGTTTAATATATAACGGATGGTATAAGCTAAGCTAAAATTATCTAATTATCTATTTCAGTTAATGTTGCAGATTGCGTTGTTCCTTAATCTTTGAATTGGATCTGGCTTATTATTTTTTGAAAAATGTTAGAGCAATTTTATAAAAGTAAGCTTGAACTTTCGATTATGTCAAATAGAATTTCTGACATATATTTACTAATATGTAAAGGATTTACAAAGCGAAAGTATATTTTGAAGTTCATTAAACAAAAAGGGGAATTGCTGCAAAAAATGGATAAAGGCATATCCTTTGTTTATCTAAACTTTAACATTTGTTTATCTAAACTTTGTTTATCTTTAATGCAGCGGCGGGCGCGCAGTGAATTGGAAGTTGATCTGTCAGCACTATCCTTATCTTCAGGGCAGATGTTTTTTTATTTTATTGGCTTATAATTCCTTACTAAATGCAGTATTTCATTTCGATGTACTCCGTCTTTGATATGATTTAAATCAAATTCCTTGTCATTATAATTCGCTTCCGATAGTGAAGAAAGTGACAGAGGTTATTCAAAATGAAAACATTTCGATTGACAAATTAGTCGGTATTCGCGACACAGCAATTATAGGACTTGAACAGCGGAACTTTGTAACTGAACAAGAAATTATGTCTGTTTATAGAATTAAAGAGAATGTATTATCACGTAAAAAATGAAGCAACTTAAACAACTTACATTGAAAGAAATGTTTAATAAAGTAAACAAATAAATATTAAGCTTTTTTTTTTTTGTAAATTTTGATACCTTTAGATCATAATTGTTCTTTATTTCATAAATTACGGTTTCATATTTTTAATTTTATAATTTCTGCATGCCATCTTACCAGATTTAAACTGATGATCTATAATCCGGAATCGCCGAAGGTCCCAACGAGTCCGGATTAACGACTTTTGACTATATTTTTTAAAGGCTATTCAGGATTTTGAAGATATGTCAGGCAGACAGAATAAAAATTG